CCTATGAACTCTGCAAATGCAATGCAAGTTGCAAGTTTGGGGAAAGGCTCATAGAGACAATGGAAGGCATAAGAACATCTGCATATTATCCTCGAAAATATTTTGAAAAAAGTGAGTCTTAATTTTACAACATGACTGTATGGTTAAGAATGGTCCCTGCAAGCAACACTAAACAAGAATGGACACTGCACAGACCACAAATACTTTAACAATTAATGCTTCTGGAGTTCAAAAGTAAAAAAAAAAAAAATTAAAAAGACAAGAAAAAACAAATAAATCTGTTATTGAAAGCTGTAATTGTTATTGAATGTAACAAGAAGAATATGTCCCTAGCTAAAGAACAATAAAAACATTCATTAGTCTTCTCATTGGGTACTAGATGACTTTGCAGCATAAAAAGAATCCTCATTTTGCAAGCATGCCCTTAATCTGTCTCTCTCTGATGCACAATTTGCAACTGTCTTTTATTCTTTATGTTGTGAGAAACAGACCCTCAGATAAAGCCTCCTCCAGATTTAAGGACTGTACCTAAAACTACCAGCAGGAAGATATGATGAATACCAAAAGATCTTAAAGCAGTTTCAAAAGAAAGAATTGCTATCATAAGATAGAACATAAGATGGTTGATGTTCCATATGTTGAAATGAGTTGTATAATTCTAGGTTAACATATATTTTCAAGCTCTGTACTATAGGCACAGAGCTCATGAAAGAGCAGGCTTGTATGGCTGAGGGCAGGGGCAGATTTTACTCTTAGGTTTCAGTATTATGTATTTCTGTCTGACTTTTTTAGACCATCAAATTACTGGTTTTTCACTGCTCAGTTTTCAAGGCTGCTGTGTTTCACTTTCTTATAGCTACCATACTGAACTGTAAATAGAAGAGATTGCAAGTTTGATGACAACACTTCTCTAAATACACTATCAGATAAGAAGTAATTTTGTTAACAGATAGGTCAGGCAATACCTTTTCAGACACAGCAATTTTATCATCTTCCATAAATACTTCTGTATAAGAATTTGCATAATTATGTAAACTTTCCTATGTTTATATTAGAATATATAAACAGTGCACACTTTGGGCATAGCTACGGCACTAGTTTTAGTAATAACGTACACAAACTCTGTTATCTTAAATACTCATAGCAGCATAACTGTGGTAGTTGGAGAGTCAGCGCCAAGACCTATGAACAGTCCAGTGATCAGCTCAGCTTCTCAGATGTGTTTTGCCACTCTAATTGAGGTCCATGCTGTATACCAATGCTCCCAGTAGCCCCCAAAACAAATTACTCAATATTTTCCTTTTTTTTTTTTTTTTTCCTCAATAAATTATGAAAGCATCCCAGTTTCCATGCTCTAACTTCCAGAGCAGCTGGAAAGTACACTCCATCAGAGGTACTGCTCCTGCTATTTCAAGGTCTTAAATTCTATTGTTAAATTTTATGCAAGCTCATTTTCTGTGAATCTCATTTATTTCTGGTGGACTCTTTTTTCATGCAAACCTAGAATTTAGTTTCCAAAGTCCTCCTGATAGGAAAACTTTTTAAAAACCTTTTGCTGCTAAAGGATCAAGCAGGACAAAGGACCCCTTTCACAGATATGTACTTTTGTGCACAATCACAGGCTGATTCAGTAGGAGTCTCTTGCATTTAGCAGGAATACAGGGAGAAGGATTCTAGAGAATACAGGGGGAAAGGAAGGAGTGGGAGGAGAGAGAGAGAGAGAAAGCAAATGGAAGATGGATGGGCTGGTAACTGGAAGAAACCAGTCTCATATTCCGGACTCCCCTAAGCAATTGTCTTTACTGGCTGAGACATTCCGCTGCAGAAGTTTCCTCAGCAACAGTGAAATGTAGAGTCATTTTAATGTCAGCTGTTTCCAGTATAAAACTGTGTAGTGTTTTACATAGATTTCTTTATAACTGTATCAAACAGTACTATACATACAAGACTAATCCCTCTATATATTTGTGGTACTGCTTAGAGCATTGTTGTGAATTATGGACTACTAAGAAAAGGAAATAAAAAGATCAGTTAGGAGACCTTTGCAAGGATATACTTTGCATAGTTAATGAAAAAGTTGGAGAAACAGAACAAGACTTATCTTGTAGGTTCATAGATTATGTCTCAGTAAGATCTAATGTGTCATTATTACCAGTTAACACAGCATGCTCCATTATCACCAACACCCACAGGTTGCTGCATAAGCTATCTAATGAAAATGCTAATTGTTTTCTTTTAAAACATTCCTAATTTCTCCTAAACGGGGTTTGGTTTGGTTTTCTTTTTTTTTTTTTTAAGCTAAAGGCTAAAACAAGTAGTTGACACTGGCTGATAATTTCAGTGATATCCAGGATCAGCCCAACTCATCTTCCACTGCAGTCAGTGGTAACTTATTAATTTTGATTGGGAGAGAGTTTGAGAACTTCTTGTACCCTCTTCTCAGTACATTCAGTTTATCCTATCAATTCAGTGCCTGCATGATTTAGATGTTGGAAATTCCTGGTTCTCTCCTCCTGTCCAGCTTGGCAATGAAAGCTTTTCAATCAGAACAAAAGATTAATGACTGAGAGTTACAGTACGTTCAACTCAGACTTCATAGCTGAAGACAGCTATATGTGGAATCAAAAGCATCATTCATAAAAAGGTCCACCATCATAAAAAGAAGCTGTTAAGCTGAGTTCCATGCAGTAAGTAACAATTTGAAAAGGTGGAATTTCACAATATGAAAGAACAAGACAAATGCTCTAGAAGCTCCAGTCTCTACTCTCTTTCATTCACTTTACAGCATCAGAAAGCCAATTAATGTATATTCAAATATAGGTTATTTTATCTATAGTATTGGAGTACTAGCCTTGATAAGCTGCCTTCTGAATTTTAGGTGTAAAAAAAAAAAAAAAAAAAAAAAAAGTGGTGTCTTCATTTAATTCAAGCAATCCAAAGTTTTTACACAAGTCAGCACACTGGGTTAAATTTAACTCCATTAAAAACACCACATTTTGTATAATGAAAATGAAGCCTTTTTTAAAATCTTGTTTTTCTGGACAGAATAATTTTACATAGCACTTTGCACTCCAAACTATTTTTTTTAAATTCATAAATAAATTTTATTTCAAGCAGCAGTAACTCAGTGTCAATATTATGCTACTCACTGATTCACGGTCTAAAGATATTGTGTTTGCAACAGAAAAGGAAATCAGCTTTATGACCCTGACCAAATGAGAATTTCCTTTCTCTTCCTAAATAAAAGCTAATTTTACTGTACAGTCAGATAATACGTTGTTTTACTCTTCTAAATAAAGCTGTTCTACTGATTTTATTTAGCATTTCTAGTCCATTTCATTCCTATCTTTTTATACATGTTCTTAAAAAAACATTATGTATTTTTTGTTGGGAACAGGACGTAAAATGATTCAGCAACTGAATTAGAGATCCTGTATAGTGCAACTTTAAGCAATTATCCAAATACAACAAGAGGTTTAATAGCTGGCACTGAAACTAAACTTCTTGTCACTAAAAATCTGATGTCTAACAAATTGACTATTTACATGTCAGTAGTGGTCCAAACTCTCCAGCTGATACTGAAATACACCTAGCAGCAAAATTTGTACAAGTACCCTTGTTTGTACAAGTACCTGCTTCAGAAGTAGCAGCTCTAACCAGATTAAGATGTTGAGACTGTGTATTTTTGCTAAAACACTGTTGACTACAATTCAAAAGTGGATTCATGACAATTCCAAGCCAAGCTCACCTGAAAGTTGGAAAATGCAGAACAGTGTTCAAGGATTCTGAGCAAGTTAATTTCCACATTTTGGTGTATCAGGAAAAAAACTTGGTCTCTGAAGCAGTAACGCTTGGGGTAAGAGTATTTAATTGACTTTGCAATGTTCAACCAGCGTAGAGAATGTAATTACAGATTATGCCAACACAACGAATAAACATCACTGTAGAACACATTTCTAGGAAGCCACTGATGGTGAAGTACAGAAAAAACTACGCATGATAAAGAAAAAAAAAATTATACATATTCTGGGTATAAACTAATTGAGGGGAGGGGGATAATTTTCCCCAGTAGGATTACACAAGACACGCCTCTTCTCTCTACCTCTTCCCTAATTCCTGCGTGAGCTGCTGGAAAACTAAAGGAATGTTTGCTTCTCCTCACACATAGATGAATGGGGAACCAGTGGGTAAGGAATTTCTGTATAAATAGAAAGATAGAATCTTTCCTCTGCTAACCTACAGAAATAGTAACCAGTTATAAAGGGATACTGATTTGCTTTAGTATATGGTTCACAGAGATAAGACTGGGGAGCAAGCGCACAATTCACAGAATTCTACATTCACAGTCACCCAATTAAAGAACAAGTAAGCATATCCAATTTTGTTTATATTGTACTGTTATAATCTGACATATTAAAGGACCTTTCAATACATACTGAGAGTCCTTTTAAGGAATCATTATGTGCAAATTGACTTAGAACCTGTGCTAGTGCTCAAAAGTAAAAATCTTCAAAATTAAGTTCCTGCCTCCTCCATCCCTACAACCTTCCCCTTTTTTCTTTAAGCCCCTGTGTCTGTGCTAGTGCAGAACTTTAGTACTTTGCTTAGACATAACCCCCAGCAAAAAGGATTCATCAATAACAGTAACTTTCCAAATGTGTACTTGTAATAAGATTTTTGGGGTGCACATGCAAACAAATTTTGACAAATCCACCAACTTTCACATTTCCAGATGCAAACGCACCTAATGACAGCCAGAATGGAAGGTTCCAGGTGGAAAGGCTTTTTTATTTTACTGAGGCACTTTACATAGACATTTGCAATTGCTAGATACTTTTGTGGCAAAATAACAGGAATCTGTAACCGATTCCCACTTGAATGTGAAATATATGTCAGAAATTTCTAAGTGTTTCTGACAGAAAATACTGCTCACCTCCTTTCACTGCCTATTCTCTTGATGTACTAAGTCAAGTGTGCTAACCTACTAATTATTATTACAGGTCAAACCACTAATAATTCAGTGGGTGAGATATCTGTACAGGTGGATGTCTCTACGCATCCTGGAACTGGTGAACATAAAGTCACTGTAAAAGGTAAGTTTCAAATAGCTAATTTTAAAAAGAAAGCAACAACAAAGTCCAAAACTCCCAAGCACTGCATCCTAAGTAAAACATACCAATAATGAAATAACATGTTAAGTATTACGGTACTTGTAAAACTATCATTTAGATTAGTATAAGCTGATTCTTTAATTGCAGTGAAGGTAGCAGACAAAAGCGCTGTTAATGTCAAGCATTTGTAAAATGTATGTTTACATTTGCTACCGATGTAACTGAAAGAAGTCAGACATCTTACATGGCAGAGAACAGCCAAAGCTTCTCCTAGGCTTTCCAGGTATTGGTATCCTATAGAAATCTCTCAGATCACCTTTCATTGGCTATACAAAGTCATACTGGATAATTAATTGAAGCTCTTCCAATGGAATTTTATTTTACAATTTCTTTTATTTCTTTATAGTTGTAGCAATTAATAATCTAAACTGGCAAACAACAGCTATGTTCCGGCCATTTGTGGAAGTTTGCATATTAGGGCCTAACCTAAGTGACAAGAAAAGGAAACACGGAACCAAGACAAAGAGCAATACCTGGTCACCAAAGTACAATGAAACTTTCCAATTGTAAGTCTTTTTTGCCTGTTAACTGGATATTTTATGCAAATTTTGTTAGAATTTCTTGCAATTAAACCAGTAAGACATAAAAAACATTCCTAAGGCCACTACACACATTAGAATCCATAGACATAGACACTACTTCAAAATTATTTAGTAATTTGTGTCTTTGTTTCATATGAAGATGAAGGATGATCAGTAAGCTTTCAGTCTTACAAAAGCTGGGTAAAACGTACAATTTCCCTACAGTGGAATAACTGTTTATATGCCTAGGAATCTATTTGCCTAAGTAGTTATCTGGACAGAAGCATTAATTATTACTGCTAGATATCTGGGCCTTTATGACTGTTGAGATATCTAAATACGTAAAGGGTTGTGCATGTGTTAATGATATTATTTATTTCTATTATCTAATCCTTAAAGCAGTAAGAAACTTCCACCTAACTTGGAGTTTTAAATTTAGTACTTCTCACAGAACCTCTCACCTGTTTACTCCTCCTCCCCTTTCATAACTGAGACCAATTCATTCTCCTCCCTTTATCCCCCAACCCTGACTAGGACAGGGTTCACTTTCACAGTGTCTGACTACAAAGCTCCTTTTGATGCTTGCTGCCAGTGATTTTCTTTTTTTTTTTTGCAGTTGATTTAAAGATGTGGTTATGATAGTTGTGGAACTAGTTGAACATTTTAGGTACTTTTTAAGGAAAGGTAACAGAGTTTATTTCAGATATTGAGGGAATGATGAATTCTCTGTCTCTGTTCAGGTCAGTGGGAACAGACACTACATCATCAGTAGCACCTGAAAGGTTAACTGTGTAGAAGGTTTAAAACTAAATCATATTCTGTTGCAACAAAATGGAACTACAAAAATTAAACTACCACTATCACTTCAATTTTTACAAGATTTCTAGAGTACGTGCATTCCTTAGGGTAATTATACTGAACTCCTTTTTCTAAATTCATATTTTTAATCCATGCAGCATTTTGAGTAATGAAGATAAGCCAGGAGCCTATGAACTTCACCTCTCAGTGAAAGATTACTGCTTTGCTAGGGAAGATCGCATTATAGGAATGACAGTTATTCAGCTGCAAAACATAGCAGAGAAAGGTAGCTGTGCATCTTGGTACCCCTTGTTGAGAAACATCTCTGTAAATGAAACTGGGTTAACAATTCTTAGAATACTTTCTCAGAGGACCAACGATGAAGTTGCTAAAGAATTTGTAAGACTTAAATCAGAAACAAGATCTGCTGAAGAAATGGCCTAAAATACCCAAGTAATGCAAGACTGTCACCGCCAAGAACATAGATACAGTGCTGTTGTCCGAATAGTGCATGCATGTGCAAATCTGTGGGAATGTTTAACTATGTTTTCAGTGTCTGTCAGTACTCACGTACTATACTTGCAAGGTATGTCAAGAAGCTGTATATCTTTTATACATATTTTGGTCTTTGGTAAAGTAATTGTTCCAATGAAGTGCCAAAACTAAAATGAAAAGTAAATGTTTCATTGTATCTTTATAAATGTCACCTCATCACTATTTCTTTATTTTTTAACATTTATTAATAAATAATTAGCTTTTTTAATTGATTAATAGGTTGTCTCTGTTTAACTACTGTGTTGCTTATTCTAAATTAAGTTACCTCCCTTACTCTTCTTTTAAAAAAAGATGTACCTAGTTTTCTTCAAACCATCATTTTATGCAAGCCTCATTTTAGGTATCTTACTGATAACTTTTTCTATCATTACTACAGATGCAGTTACTTATAGAAAGTGTTTGTAATTTTATAATTGCCAATATAAAGTAATGATTTTTGCATAAAAAATGAAAAAGGATGGAAATATTTTATGCTAATCTTTTTCCAACCTTTCATAAATATCACTGTGAAGAAATGCTGTTAAAGCAAGTTCTCAAGAAGCTGTGCTTATCAGAGTTTGTTACTGATGTTTGATATCTTGAGATAACTTTGTTCTTCAAAACTGCCAAGGTAATATCATATTTGTATTAAAAGAGTAAGTCAGTATCTGTAGAAAAAGACTGCCATACAGTACAGTATATGTGCTTTTAAAAAATCATTTTTTAAATGATATGGTACCGTACAAGGGTTAGTAGTTTGGAATATGTAATGCCAGTTTGTGGTTCGTTTCTAGAAATTGTTTATGACAAGAAAAGCTGCTGTTAGCATTTTCACTCAGTTATTAACGTTGCTTTACATACTTAGCTGTAACATCAATTAAGTGCTTTATTTCTTTATTTTTTTTAGAAAAGTTCAAGTTTGTACTTATGCAACATTACTATGTATTGCACTACAGCAAACTCCGTGTCCTGTAAATATATTTAGTGAGAAACTGTAAAATAAAGTATGAAGAAACTGCTTTCTAGTTTGTCATTTGATATTATTTCTGTGCCTATAGGTTTTATGTGCATGTGAAGCCCATGCAGTGGGCTTACAATATAGCTTTATAATATATCAAAGTACAATTTCCAATGTCTAGTATCTGGCTTTTTTATAAGTGTAAGATTTGATATATCACTGTCCTAAAAAACTATAATAAATGAGGTAGGCGTATATATATGATATAATGTTCTGTAATAATACACATAACATTCTGTAACTATACACATATTTGCCGTTGGTTTTGGTTATCAGTGTTTCTGATAGCACATGCTAAAGTTTTCAGCTTTGCTTAGGGAAAAAAAATAAATAAGAGGAAGGGAAGACATATAGCTAGTATGTTGGTGTCAGTCTTTTTAAAATGTAGTATGTGACTCCACATAGGTAAACCAGATTCTTTCCAGGATATGTTTTTGTGAGATATTTAGATGAGTTTTTAAGAACATCTTTCAACACCCTCAGTCCTCTTGCTTGAATACTAAAAAGTAGATTTGCCATAAGTATATTTAGACATTTAGAGAAGATCTGCACAGCTTTTAGAGAGTTAACAATACTCACCAAGATCATAGCAGAGGGGGTAGCACCCAAGTTATATTATTAGTATATAACCTGCTGATAGTTATGCATTGCAGAATACATTATGGCAGAGGGAGATTTTGATGGGTACATTTTTTAACTCATCACTTCAGAAAGCCATTTCTCCATGTGAAAACTTATACTGATAATTTCACATTTCAAAAAGTAATTAATTTAGACATGAAGTGATGCCTTAAACAATTCTGAGAAAGTAACTTTAGTAATACCTACTAAATATAAGTTGCATGTGATTGCAAATACTTACAAAACTCTCCCAAGGATTTAGAGACCCAAAATCAATCTTGAAACAATTCCAACCCTTAAATGTTTCAGATGTATTTGCATGTTGCGGTATACTTAAAAGTAAAATCCAGGTGTAGCTCTAGTAACGGCAACAAAATTAGAGAATTTTACCTGAGTCTGTATGTGCAAGTCATACTGCTTCCTAACTCCATGTCTGCAAGGTATAGCCCAAAGTGTCTACAGTGAATAACACTTAAAACGCAGAATCTATTAACAGTTAAGAAGATTTAATATAAGAAAACATCAGCAGACTCAGTCTCAAATAAAAAAGGAGAATAATCAAGAGATGAGGTGGTTCCTGAAATATAGAACCTTATTGTAGACAAAATGCAAAGAGACTTCCACAATAAATCATTTGTGGCTCTATGAATTAAAACAGAAAAGCTGGGGTAGACAGCTTCTGGTTTTTACCTAGAGCATTTTTATCATATTTTTCTGTCGCTGTTTATTCTACTGAGAGATTTATGTCCTTTTTATTTTGTTTTCTAGGATGGAAATATAATAGCCAAATATAGGGAATTGAACTAATTTTTCCTTGATGTGCTTCATAGCTAATATCTGACAGAAAAATATGGTTTTAATATGAATTTATAAAAAGTGCAACTTAACAAAGTTTGATGGCAAGGTTCGCTCTATTACTTATTACATGGCAGAAGTGTACAAAGGCAAATCAAGTTAGAATTATTTACATAGAGAGTGGAGACAAAAAGGGACTCCCACTGAGTCACAAGGTTCAGAATGGACCCCCTTGCTTTCTAAATTCCTTCTCGGAGAGGAGTCTAGGTGTGGCTGGATCCAGACTTAGTCCCAGACTTAGTCAACGGTTTATGTCTAAGAGAAGAGATACAAAGAGGAAAGCAAGCCTCCTGTTGCATCACAAGGTTCAGAGTAGACCCTGTTGCTTTCTAAATTACTTCACAGACAGGAGACTAGGTGTGGCTGGATCCAGTCCTAGTCCCACATGGGGTCAATGGTTTATATCTAAAGGATTTAGTAGCACTTATTCATTTAGCAGCACTTAATAATTGACTAATGTAACATTTACAAAGTAATTCAATAGGATTTACTATAATCACAACTGTGACTGAAGTTGTTATAGGGTATTTAAATCAATTCACACACACAAACACAAAAAGAGAGAGATACAAGGATAAAAGATGCATCTGTTAAAAATTCCCCTTGAGTTCAGTGAAATACTCACTTCAAATGCCTTGGCATTTCTCAATGGGCAAGGGTTGAGCCTCGAGGAGTTTCGGCCCAGGCTCTGTCATCAGCTTTCGGCAACTGTCCTCCGAACTTTGCAAACTTGAGAGTTTGCGAGCTCCAAGAGGCATCCCACTCAGAAGGAGATGTTGGTCACAGCCTACTGTGGTGCTGGAGAGCTCAAAGAGTCTCACTTAGGACTGCTGTTTGTAGGTTCACAAGATGATTTGCTTTAGTCATCCATAAACTCCCATCCTGGCCACAATCAGGGTCAGTAATTACTGCAATTCCCAAAGTTCCAGTAACAATGGTACCTTTTCACTAGAGCTACGATTCAGATAAGGGATGTTCCAAGGCTGTCAAGAAATGACAGATTATTCCTGCTCTCATTCCCCACCTTGGTCAGGCAAGAGGAGTTGCCAGTACGATCAGCATTGCTCTCATCTTAGCCATGAAAGAGTTCCTGATACAGTCAAGGGACACCTAACTGCCCAACTCATTACACAAAGGCCAAGGTTTAACAGGAATTCCTGAGATCTCAGTGAGGCCGGGGCAGGGAGGGGGATGCACCACAAAAAGGTCCCTTCCATTCCAAACCATTCTGTGATTGCAAATAAGTGTTAAAAGTTTGTCCGTACCCTGGAAGGATCAAGAGATCCTTTATAAAGAATACAAGAAATGCACATGCATGTACAAATGCCACCATTTGGCTTAGTTATCACTCTAGCTATATTCCCCATACACATGTTTTAGAATATTCATAACTACTGTTTTCTTTGTGCAGCTTCTTCACAGGCATTTTCATTCAAAAAGAGATTATTTAAACAAGCTTACTTAATCCAAGTATTCCACATTTAAAGGGAGAGTTAATTCCAAGAAGCTTTGTAAGTTATTGCATTTGTGTCCTCTGTGAATTAAAGTGATCTACACAACTTATTCACATTAGTTGTTAATAGGAATTGTTGGCCACTATAAATCTCATGTTTAAAGGAGAAGGTGAATTGCTTTATTTTACTATCATTGTTATTTCCAGAAGAGGACACACTGGAGGACAGGAGTCTCTTCTCAGTGAAGTCAATGGGAGCTTTGTCCAATGGTTGCTCTTCAGTCATTTCATTCAAGTTGAGCAATTTAGCGTGTTAGTGTAACCACTCAGGATGTGTTTTTCCAGTTCACAGGTTGAATAGAACTTCGAAACTCATTAAAAGTTAAAATGGGCTTAATCAGAAATACGTGTCAGAGGGAAGTTAAATTCCTCTTTGAGTGCTGGATGTGTTTTGATAAACATATTACCTTGTCAGGATGGTTTGCATCACTAGTACAGGTTTACACAAGAGAAGGGATTAAGGTGCCAAACACATACCCTACAATCACAGAATAACTTAATTTGGAAGGGACCTCTGGAGAGCATTTGGTCCACCTCACTCTCAAAGTCGGACCAACGAAAACAGGCTATTACCATGAAGAGCTGCAAAAACAGATCTACCTTCATGTTTCACACCTTAAGATAGATGCCATTAGGACAACAGACTAAGACAAGTCAACAAATAATCATAGCTGTGACATATGGCAAACATCACATATAAACAGTAGCTTCCATGGCCATACAGCTAACTTGAAGTTGAGTGGGCCTCTAACAAAATTAGCATCATTGCCCTTTATGAGTGATAATTACAAAATCTGTACAGGGTCTCTGTATAAAGATATTTCATTATGAAAACAAGATATAATAAAATTAGAACACGGCTGAGTTTATGGGTTTAATCATTACAGTTAATGCTAAACAAGA